TTTTTTTTTTTTTTTTTTTTTTTTTTTGAGTGCACTGGATCTCTTTACAGCAAAATCTGTGGGCTTTGACATGTAGCCAAGCTTGTATCACAACCTGGTCTAGGTGTTGTTCTCCCTTACCTGCCCTGGGCTGACAGAACACACAAAAGGAGCTGCCCCACCTCTCCTGCCCCACTGTAATTTGTTGAGCCACTGGAATAGGCTGAGGAATTTGAGGGCCTGAGGCACAGGTTTATCCAGCCTGCTCCCAAGATGGCTACAGCCACCAGAGGCAGCAGGGAAGAGGGTTGTGAGTGCTCACATGTTCCAGTTCACCAGCACAGTGGGAGCAGGTGAATCTCCTGCAGTGGGACAGGAATGCCTTAAGCAAGCCCTGCTTTCTGCCCTGAGATCATGTGCCTCACCTTTGACTTTGGAAAACTTCATCTCCCATCTCCACCACAGGCACATCCACACATTATCCCAATTGTTTTCCGTCTGAACCCAGGGTGGAAAGGTGCAATTCAGACTCCTGTTTCCTGTGAGGGATTTTTGAAGCACGTTGTTGTTCAGATGTTGCTATGGATTTTTTAATATTATTTTTTCCCCTCCAAGTGAATCTCTGACCATAGCACACGCTTGGGCATTTGCTCCATGGATGACTCACTGTGAACCAGCCCAAGCTGGGGAGAGCCCTCAGCACAGTGTGAGCAGCCTCCCCGTGCTCCAGCACCAACCCAGGCAGGGCCAGGGGGCCAAGGAAGTGTCCCACAAACCTCTCCTCACTCCTGCTGCCCACAAGAGCCTGAGTGATCCACATCATCCAACCATTTAGTGAACTGGTCTCCCTGGGGTTACACCCACAAATTATAACTGGCTGCAGCCATCATGCATCAGCCTTGTCCAGGCTCCAGTGTCTTCTCACTCCTTTCTGATGTTGTTCTGTTGCAGAAGATCAGCAATGGGATCCCCCTTCCTCCTGCCCAGGTGCCTCCCAGCTGCCTGCATGTGAAGCAGAAGCCAGGTAGTCCCTGGGCCACCTCAGTGGGTGAAGCTGTGCCCAAACTCACCCTCCAGGGGGTCGTGGGGAGGCTGAGGGCCCACTGTGTGTGTGCTGAAGCTTCCAGCAGCCTCTGCTGACTGCAGGGCTGTTCCTCTGCTCTTGTTCTGTTCTGCAGAGCCTCCTAGGGGAGAAAATGCCTTTGCCAGTGATGCTGGTGCCCAGATGGACTCCAAGGTGAGGTGTTCCACCAGCTGAAGCTAGTACAGCCTCAAGACACTACGGCTGCAAAAAGGGCAAGATTCCTGCCCAGACCCTCCAAAATTCCTGAGCTGCTCCAAAATCATGGAAAAAATCTCCTTCCTCTGACCTCTTTCTCATTCGAAAGAGAGGCTCCCATGTGGTCTTTGCTCCTCCACTCCCAAGTTTGCGACCATCCTACTTTTTGAGACAGTCCAGGGCTGAGGTTTACAAGGCACTGACCTGTTGCCGCCCTCCAAGGTGCCAAGAGCCCCAGACACATTGCTGTTGTCATACACACTCTTTGCAAGGGAGAGCTGTCTTTGAACTCCCTACTGTCTCTTCCCCCTTCTGCCATTCTCTGTCCCTGTCAGTCTGGGTACCACAGTTCATTCATATTTGCATTCTGGGATGATGTTCTCTGAGGCACCTCCATGTCATTGCCAACTTCTGTGTGTGATGGCCCTGGAATTGCTCCTCTGTCCACCTGGGGGCAGAACCTCTGTCCCCCAGCTGCAGGTCAGCTCTACCACCCCTCTTTGAAGGGCATTTGAAGTAGCTTTATCAGCTGTACTTCAGCCAAAAGGCAGCACAAAGTGGGAATGTGGCGGCTTCTCTCCAGCTGGCTGGAGGAATTGGGATCCTACTCATATAATTTTCAGGTTGGGAGATACCTGCACAAACAGACCCAGAAACAGGTTTCCTGAGTCATGGGAGGAACATTTGATTCCAGGTTTTGAATCCATAGTTCCCCCTCTGAAATTCAGATCTGCATTTTAATGATGCTCTACCATGACATGGCAGCACAGAGACGAGAGGTTGTGTCTGTGTCACCTCTTGGATATGAGAGTCGACATAGTCAGTCGAGGTTCTTCTTAGTCCATGAACTTCAGTCAGTCCAGGCTCTTCCAGAGGGTAGTTGGGCACTGACCAGGCTCCCCAGGGCAGTGGGCACAGCCCCAAGGCTGCCAGAGCTCCAGGAGCATTTGGACAATGCTGTGAAGGACAGGGTGGGATTGATGGGGTGTCTGTGCAGGGCCAGGGGTTGGACTGGATGATCCCTGGGGGTCCCTTCCAACTCAGGACATTCTGTGATTCTGCAGTCTGACTGACCAGCCTGACCACAGTGCCATATCTCTCAGCAGATCCCCCAGAGCCACAGAGAGGCCTCCCCGGGCTCGGCCAGGCCGGTGGTGCTGCGGGTGTGCTGCGAGTGCTCGGTGGTGCTGCGGGCGGGCGAGGCACCGGCCCTGCCGGCCCTGCGGGCGCTGCTGCAGGAGCGCTTCGGGCAGCAGGCACAGCGGGGCACCCTGAGGTACGGGCGGGATGTGTGAGAGATGGGGCAGCAGCCACCCATCCCCCTGAGGACACAGCCACGCTGTGCCTGGTCTCCCGGGGACATTTATCCAGGGCTGAGGCATTCCAGCAGGGATCCAGCAAAGGTGTGAGCACAGTCTGCCTTGCATGCAAACCTTACCATGGCTCTTGCTCCATGGAGGATAACACACTGTTCCTCCTGTAAGCCCCCTTCCAGTACATAAAGGGGCTCCAAGAGAGCTGGAAAGGGACTTTGGACAAGGGCCTCGATGGACAGGACAGGGGGGAATGGCCTTAGGCTGAAGGAGGGCAGAGTTAGATTAGATATTAGGAATAAATTCTTTACTATAAGGGTGGTGAGGTCCTGGCACAGGTTGCCCAGAAAAGTTGTGAACTCCTCAGCCCTGGAAGTGTCCAAGGCCAGGCTGGATGGGGCTTGAAGCAACCTGGGATAGTGAAAGATTCCCTGCCCATGACAGGGGGGTTGGACGTGAATGGTCTTTAAAGTCCCTTCCAACCCAAACCATTCTATGACTCTGTGATATATGGACTTTGTATGCCCAAAAGGATCTTTCCCAGAAAACAGTACATGTCAAGAGAAAGGGGGAACAGAAGGAAAAACTCTGTGTAGATGCAGTTGCTGTATATCGGATTTTCTCCTGCTCGGCTCAGCCTTTGCAGTAACTGGGATCAGTGCAGAGCAATCTGGGAGTCAGGTCCTGGAGTGAAATCTCGCTGACTGTGACACCCTTGGGACACAGTCAGTGGAGCCAGGAGAGTTTAGGATCTTGCCCTCAAGTACGTGTGTGAGGAGGTGACAGTGTCACTCCCCAGCCATTTCTGCTGAGCATGTGGGGTGGCCCCATGTCACTGTGCAAGGTGATAAGCTCAGAGCTGGCCTGCAAAGGGGACTGTGAAGGCTGAGGGTGGCAGAGGGCTGGGCTTTTCTCAAAGGCTGGATTTAAATAAGATGATTTGTGCCGCATTAACAAACTCTTGCAGCTACAGGCACCCGGATGGCACGGAGCTGGGGACAGTCTTGGGAGAGGAGGATCTGGGGAGGATGTGGCAGCAGCTGACAGATGGCAGGGTGACACTCTACTGCCAGGTACAGGGGCTGTGACAAGTGTCTCTGCTGTGCTGGGCTTCAGTCTCTGCTTTGCCTTGCAATCTCCATGCTGGCTTTTCCTGCAGGATTCAGACTCCCACTCGGGCAGACCTGTTCTGTACCGGATGCTGGCTCAACACTCTTATCTGGCACAGGGACCAGGAGACCTGGAGTTCAGCAAGGGAGATATGCTGGATATCCTCTCTGAAGGTAGCTCTCCAGTCCTGCTGCAGGTTGTCCTGGGACAGGCTTTTGGAGTCTGCTGCAGGGAGGGACTGGGAATACAGGGCCTCTCCCGTGCTATCTCAGGCTCATACTCTCAGGAGTGACAGGCTTGCACTGGGTTTTGTCCAGAGTTAAATTCCAGCCATGAAAACTCTCAGTAACCCCACTCATATGGGCCAGGACTCATCCTGCTGCTTTGTGTTTTCCCAGTGAACGAGGACTGGCTGGAAGGATGCTGCAATGGCAAGACTGGCATCTTCCCCAAATGTTTTGCCACCCAGACCAGCTGTGGTGCTGCCTTCCTATAGCAAACAGGAGCCTTTTCCTGCTCGACTGCACTCCCAGGAATGGGAAACACCAATCCCAGCTCATTCAGGCCCCAGCCAGCCAGGGGCTCTGCTGAACCTGGACAAGGGATATCTCCCGCTCCCAGATTCCATGGGGTCAGTTCCAGCAGTCTGACAGCATTTCCTACAGCCTGTCCCCAGACCTTGTGCTTACACTGCCAAAGATGTGTCTGTGCAGAGCAGAGAGAGGGATCTGCTGTTTGGCTGTGGGAGTTGTCCATGTGGCAGCTCAGACCTCTGGGCTGGGAAGATGTTCCTCTGGGTGGGAAGATGTTCCTCTGGGTGGGAAGAGGTTCCTCTGGGTGAAGGTCTTCATCCCCTCTCCCCTGTTGCTCACATTCGGGCTGGGAAAGCTGAGCCTCACTCTAACAAAGCCAAGGATGGCTGCCTGGGAGCAGGAGGCAGAGCCCTGTTCCCCGGGCTCTCGGGTCACACAACCTTATCTCCACCAGCAGAGATGCAGCAGAGACGCTGCTCCTTCAGAAGGCTTTTGGGACCAGTTTGCAGAGGGGTTAATGGGATAACACCGTGGGTTAGGATCACCATGCTTCCACAGAAAATACATTATGATCTGACCATTCTTCAGCGCAGATGCCTTTGATTCTTTCCTTAAGCCCCAAGTCCAAGGTGGGGTGTAGCAGCACAGAGGAGAGGGAATTGTGGAAACCTGCACTGCTCAGAGCAGTTCCAGGCTATGGGAGAGCCCTGGAGGCACTGGGGAGAGGGCTGGGAAGTGCAGCACTGACTGGTGCTGCAGGGACTGAAAGGGCTGCCGAGTTCCTGCAGCTGAGCTGTGCTGGGCTTTGCTGATCTAAATAAAACACTCAAGTGTCTGGAGCTGGAACCCATTCTGGATTTGGAGTTTGACAAAGCTGGGCTGTGTAACTTGAATAAAAATAAACCCTGAGCCAGAGTTGGCAACTCTTAAATCAACTTCCACTTGTGATTTTCTGCTGAGATAGGCCAGTAAATACTTTTAAAGACAGCTGACAGTGTCTTTGGAGATGATCATCTGTCACATACTACAAAAATATTGCACATCTTGCACAGGGCAGGATAGAGATGATGTCATCCCTCTCCTCAGAGTTAGATGCCCACCATGGCTCTCCATCTCTTGCCTCCCAGGGCTGTTGAGAGAGCAGCCCAGCAGGACTGGCAGTGCCAAGGAAACTGTGCTAGGCTGGGCAATGACATTCATATTTGAAAAACAAAACAGATTTTATTTCTAGTTCGAATTTATCTGGCTTCATCCAGCCACCAAGTCTCAGTCAGCTTTTGGCAGTCAGATTAAAGGAGTCTTTTCCTCTTGGAGGTTCAGAGAGATCAAGACAACTTTGTAATCTTAGACATTCACAGAGATGACCCAGTCAGATCTCCAGAGCAATGGAGATGGGTCTAATGCCCTCATTCTTCTCCCCCTTCCACCTCTTCTGCACCACTTCCTTGCCTGGGTTAGTGGGCAGGATGCCTGGAGTCAGGAGGCTGGGAGCTACTTGGTTTTCCAGAAACACAGGAGGAAAGTGGCCACCAGGCCTGTCACAAGGGCCAGCACGATGAAGGAGACAGCCCCTGCCCATAGCCCGGGCTGGTGGCCCTTGACAAGTTCCAGAGGCTCCGCGGGGATCACGTTGCTGAAGTTCAGCATGAAGCCCAGTGTCCAGCCAATGTCTGTGTGTGCTGCCTGCAGGGACAGAGCAGAAGGGACTACCCTAAAGTACCTGTCCCAGGCACCCCTTCGGTGCAGGGGACTGGCGGGCATCTCTCCCGGGGGCTGCCCCAGCTACCATTGCACGGGTGGCCCTGCCCGTGGTGAACCTGATCCTGCCAGCAGCTTTCCTGTCCCCCCTTCCCCAGTGATAAGGGACAGCTGTACATGGATGATGGCTCTGATCCAGCTGTGCCTCTGTGACCTGCACAGGATTTTGGATCTGAGCTATCCTCCTTCCCCATAATCCTCCTGATCTGGCCATAGTATTGTTAAGGTTGGAAAAGACCTTTAAGGTCATTGAGTCCAACCATCGACCCAGCACCACCACCACCATGTTCACCACTAAGCCATGACCCCAAGAGCTACATCACAAGTTTTTTTAACACTTCCAGGGATGATGACTCCACCACTGCCCTGGGCAGCTGTGCTAATGCCTGACCACGCTTTCTGTGAAAAAAAATTCCCAATATCTAACATCAGCCTCCCCTAGCACAACCTGAGGCTGTTTTCTCTCATCCTGGAAATACCGTGGCCTGGCCATACTCTGGTTCAAATGGGTCATCGGCCACCATCACCTCTGTGATGAGAACATCAGAGACCAAAGTGGGCAAATCCTGCTCTGCACTTCCCTGACCCCCTTAAAATGAGTTAAGTTCACACCAGAGAAAGTGAGAAAGGAGTGGGGTCAGAGATTTAGGAGCAGTAAGAAAGAATGAAGCTCTGCTGGGATCGCTGGGGAGGGGCCATGAAACAGACACATTTCTGGCACAGGAGACTCCAGGGATGCTGCTCTTGGACATGCCCAGGGCAAGGCTGAGGCTGCAGCTCCCCACAGGTGTGTTTACCTGCTGGCTGAAGTGGATGTTGCTCCAGGTGTGCTCATTGAACTTGAAGCCATCGAGCAGCAGCGTCAGGATGTAAATGGCTGCAGAGCAGTATGTGTGCAGGTACTTCTTGTCCTGTGGGAAGGTCTGCTCCAGCTGCGGGGTACAGGGCAACCGGGAATAAAACACATGCTCAGAAACACTCCCTAGCTCTGGGAACAGCGGGACATGTGTTTCCTGGGCACAGATTTGGGACAGGAAAAGCACAGGGCTCCTGGCTCCTGGCTGCCCTACACAGGGCTCTCACCTCTGACCAGTTCCTCTTGCAGAAGGCCAGGATCGTGGTGTTGACATCATTCAGAGACTGCTGGCTGGTCAGGTTCAGGAAGTGGAAGGTGTAGTAGAACCCAGCAAAGGCCTGGGGGATAAGGGAAGCTGGTAAAAACCACATCTCCTTCCTCAACTGAAAAAAGACCCAGGGGCCCCTCTTGCCTATGGACAGAGTTCCATGTAATTCCCAAGTTTCTGCATCCAGCACCCAATTGATGGTTGACCAGAAAGTCTTGGAGCTGGCTGACAAGCCGTGGAGCTGGTGCTTGCATTCTGAGCTAGCTCAGATTTCTTCCCTTGGACAAGGCCTTCCCATTTCCTTCAGGAGACAAAAGCCATCTCCTGGTATAGGAGCAGAGGTTTGCAGATGGGACCAGCTCTGGGGTCGCCTCTGTCCCCACCCATTCCCACAACCGGTGGCAGAGGAGGCTCCCACCCTCTCTCTTCCCCCTTCCCCTCCACCCGCAGGGACGGAGGCTCCTTACAAAGAACTGTCCCCGCACGGGGGGCTGGTACACCCCGTTGAACCCGCACGGCCTCTGGGCCCCACAGCTGAAGTTGAAGAGTTTCTGCACGGCTGTGCTGCACCTGGCTGGGTCCCCTGTGCCCGTCACCGTCAGCACCTGGGCAGGGCTGGCTGTGCTGGGGGCACGCACACACGGGCTGTCGTAGAGCTCTGCCACGGTGACATTCTCCTGGTACCCCATGGGGTAGCAGGGGTGTGAGATCTGGGCAGTCATGCTGTCCTGGAGAGAGAGGGAGCCATCAGTGGGGCTTGGCGTGGGATGCCAGGGAGACCCCACCCGCAGCCCAGCCCAAAAAGCAGCACCTAGACCCCAGGAGGATCTGAGGAGAAGCAGGATCCGTCCTGTGCACGACTAACCTGCCCACGGCTCTCCCTGAGAGCCACTGAGCCGTGCCGGGGGAACGATGGCACTGCCACCCCCAGCAGTGGCACCTGCTCCCCAGGGCAGTAGTGCTGGTGCTCTGCCCGCACGGAGAGCTTGGTGCTCTGGGCACTCGCTCTGTCCCCACCGCACCCTGCAGGCCCTGGCCCAGGGAAGACCAAGGATGGATCCTGACTCTGTGCTTCCTGAGCATCCCTGCATCCCAGGGCACTGAGCGCTTGGGCCCAGGGCAGGCAGGAGGACACTGCACAGTGCTGGAGCAGCGTGGGGACTCTATTGGGAATCCTCTCGCAGGCACAAATTGAGCAAGGGGGAGAGAATATGGACAGGGAAAACCTACGGATACGGCTGGGCTTGGGAAATGACAAAAAATGCTATTACACATCAAGATCTGGGGAGAAGGGAGCCCTGGCAGGGAACCTTCTTCACCCATCTTCAACCTTCAACCTTCACCCCCATCTTCCACCCAAAGGAAGGAATTGTTTGGTTCCATAGATAAAATCTCAAGCTCTCCCAGTTCCCTAACACTTTATCCACAGGCATGCCCAACGTTTCTGGGAGACACCTTTCGTGGCAGTGGAGGATGGCTGAGCACATCCTGAGGCCCCAGGCTGTGGTACCTGGTGCAGAGCTGCCAGTAGCATCTTCAGGGCCTGTGTCTTCCCATAGCACAGGTAGCTGTGGCTGTAGAGAGAGTAGTTGGTGCCGTACAGGCGGAAGAAGACCGAAGCGTTCCTGTCCTCCACGGGCACTCCGGGCTGGAAGGTTATTTGTGTCGAGGCACCTCCAAGGTCCAGAGCTCCCAGAACCTCGGTGTCCTCTGGATGTTCCCATTTCTCTGCAAAGGAAAACTGGCCCAAGAGACAGCACATGTTAGTCTGAATGGGAGGGACTCCCAGTCCCATGGGTTTCCTCATGGCTTTTGGGGCTCAGAAGCCCCAGAGGGAACTTCCATGTCCTGTCTCCCTGTTTTACCCCCCCTTGCCCACATCCTCCTCAACCCACAGAAACTTTCAGGGAGCTCTGAGGTCTGGCCCCTTGTTTCTGGGAACCAGAGACTTTGAGGAGGGAAAAAGGAACACTTTCATCTGGAACCTGGTACCCCTGCACCCCTGAGGTACCAAAATCCACCCCTGAGTCAGCAGAGAGCACAGGGCTGGGCTGAGCTGGACACAAAGATTCTGTTCATCACATCACTGGGGTTGGATCTGCAGCCCACGACCACAGGTGAGATTTATCAGGGGACCAGTGCCCTAAAACTACAACCTTCTCTCCTCTGGAACAAAGAACCCTGACTGTCACTTGGGCAGGGATATTTTCAGCGCTCAGCCCTCCCCTCCCTCTCCCCCAGCTCACACCTTGACGAGTGTCTCCAGCAGGTAGTTGACGGTGATCCAGCCGAAGGAGCCCTCCTCTGTGCCCGTCAGGATCCGAGCTCCACGGAAGTCCACAGGGTACTCCTCAATCACCTTGGCCACCTCAGCAAAGGCCTGCTCGGCCTTGGTGCTGTTCTGCTCCCTGACAGGAAAGGGATGAACACGGCTGGGGCAGGAGGCCTCAGCTGGGAGCTGTGGGAGCTGGGCTAGCAGCGAGAGGCT